ATATTCGCTTCAGATTCTTATTTCCTTGGTTAGACGGGAATTCTTATTGCGATCTGACTTTCTTGTTGTGCTGCCGAAGTGCTGCCGAAATTTCTGTTGCACGCAACATTCTCTACCCTCCATCCAAACAGGCCATAAGTGAAAATTGATGAGAAGTAAAAATGATATTTTTAGTATTCCAAAAACTCATTATATTTGATAAGCATCAACAAAAAGTTAAAATTGCATTCCGTTCCCACTCGTTCTGCCCACACCAGGCCTAAGGATCTATAATGAAGTTTTGCATTAAAACAAAAGAGGGGTTGGGTAATGATGCGGGTGCGGATGGATTCGCTTTGTAATGGGCAACCCTCGTAAAAATTATCTCTTTTGGGGATTTTTTGGGGAAAATTTGCAAAATAGTCTGTTTTTGCTAATTATTTAACAAAAAAGACCGTTTTGCTAAATAATTAGAAAAATAGACCTCTTTTGAAGAAAAAAAAAGGTCGATTTTGAAAAACAAGACTTAGAAAACATACGGGACTACTAGTCCCGTATGTTTAGAACCAACTTAATCACGGATTAGTGACCCAGAAAACATACGGGACTAGTAGTCCCGTATGTTTTCTGAGTTCATCTTAATGTTTTGTGAAATTTTCTGAGTTCACTAATCCGTGATTAAAACATACGGGACTACTAGTCCCGTATGTTTTCTGAGCTGTTTTGCAAAATAGACCTCTTTTTGGCCTGTTGGCCAAAAAGAAGTCTATTTTGCTAATTATTTAGCAAAACGGTCTATGTTGCTAAATAATTAGTAAAAACGGGCTATTTTGCAAATTTTTCCTTTTCATTACCCCTCAATCACTTGAATTACTATTTGGTCCACCAATTATCATAAGTTTCTAATAAAGTTGCTAAAGACTAAGGAATATACCTTAAAAATTGAGGGACTAAGTTCTGAATAATTGAAGACTGAGGGACTTCATAGAAATTTTAATAACTTGAGCGATTAATTTTACGATATGAATATATTAGATACTAATATCAGAAAAGG